ATCACTTTTTGTCTCTTGGTCGCCACCTGAGTCTGAGGGTTCAGAAGAAGGCAGGTGGAATTATTTCTCCTTCTCCTTCCTTCTCAGTTTCACTTCTATCATTTTCTTCTTTTTCCTCACTACATCTCTATTCTGTCCCAGAACCACATTTGCCAAGATTTAAAATTAGAGTGTCCTGCTATCCAGGCTTGCCACTCTGCTTCCCAAACACACCGGGAGCTGTTGTCTGATTTCCTTTCCACTTGTCACACCATTTCTGGGAGTTGAACCATCCATATAGCTTTGGTATCCTTCCTTGGTGTTCTGTAAGGGTAGGACTCAAAAGAGGTATAAGAGAGATAGATGGTGGGAATATGGTACTTCCTGCCTTTTATGAAGCATACATTGTATAAGGCACTGAGCCTCATTCTAGATAAAATCTCATTTAATCCTTTAATCTCATTTAATCATTTAATCCTAACACTTCTTTAATACTTCTATGAGATAATGATGATTTTTAATCTCATCTTCACAGATAAATAAACTAAGGACAGAGAATTGACAGAGATCATAGAGTTAGCAGAAGTTGGTGTCAGAGTTGTGCTTCAAACTCAGAATAACTGCAGAGCTGCAAATGCAATGTGTATCTTCATTTCAGTGTTTCAGGCACTGGACGAGGGAAGGATGATGACTTACTTACCAGGAGGACTTGTATCCTTTGATTTTCTCTTGACTGGATTCCTTGGATCTCTTCTCTCTCTTTTCTTAGACTCTCAAGACACTTCTGAATTTGTTCCTGAGAGAAAGAGCTAAAATATTTAAGATGTAAATGAATTGTTAAGGGACATCATCTCATCGAACCTGTCATCTCAGCTGCCTTCAGGAATAGGATGAGCCAAGAGAAAATTACCAGATTTACTCATCCTTGACAGTCTTTGGGTCTTGTTCCTCTTGCTTTACTCTCTAATAATTTTGATCAGAGCTGCCTCCTATTCAGTGCAATCACAAACTGTGATTCAGTCTTCCCAACCTGAGCGTTCCTTTCTTTTTTCTTTATGGTTAAATACCCTAACTTCTTTTGATTTGGGGAAGTATTGCCAAATATCTATCCAATCCTTAACACAAATTATTTGAAATTTTTTAACTTTTATAATGCCCTTAAGAGAACAGTCTTTTCTTGTGTGTGGAATTCGTTTTCAGTATATAATTCTGAGTAAGAAGAAGAAACTTGATAATGCCAAAATAAACAATAAATTATTTTTAAAATGGCATAGTCTAGAATAGTAAGGAATAAATAAACACTTAGAAATATTCACATAGTTCATTTTGAAATAAATGTAAAATTTCCACCATAAAATTCTAATTCACTGTCACTGTCACTGTCCTCCCGTTGTTCATCGATTTGCTCGAGCGGGCCCAGTAATGTCTCCATTGGAGACTTTTGTTGTTACCATGTTTGGCATATCGAATACATCACGGGTAGCTTGCCAGGCTCTGTCGTGCAGGCGAGATACTCTCGGTAGCTTGCCGGGCTCTCCGAGAGGGGTGGAGGAATAAAACTCAGGTCGGCCATGTTGGCTGCATGCAAGGCAAACGCCCTACCGCTGTGCTATCGCTCCAGCCCAAAATTCTAATTAATAAATTGATATACATAAAACCACTTGCACTGAAACATAGTATACAAACAAAAGCTAACCCAAAATCATTTAATAAAAGTGACACAAAAATGTATACCACATATATGCGTCCAACCTGAATATATGTAAACAACTATCTTTTCATAGATATGAATGCTCAGTTATATTAATGTACCCAAATAGTCAGAATTTTCCCCAAATACATGCACACTGGTAAACATGTAAAATAAATATATAAAAACCACATACACATAGACTATTTATATGTTCATATAATCATTCCTTCAAATGCAAATTAGACATCCCCAGAAATATCTGACTGCTCCATGACACAGATAAACACTCTTGATTTGGTCATTCATTCATTCAAGTATTTATTTCACTTTTATTATATGCTGGCCATAACTAATCTACATAGAATATGCTTAAAACACAAACTCATGATTTTTTATGCTTGAATGTATTGGCTAGCTGATGATAGAAGTAGGTGGTTAAATTTTCTTTTGAGCACCCAAATAATATACAACTTGGCTCTGATTCTCATAGTCCTGTTCAATCCCAGACCACACAGGAATGTCCCAGATTCCCTTTTCCTACCCTATAAGGCCCTGCGGCATCCTCCAGAAAACGCACGGTGTGGGACCGGTGCTCCCAGGTTTCCCGGCATACCACACACAGTTGCATCTCATCATCCTCGCAGAAGAAGTAGACCTTCTCCCCATGCTCTTTGCAAACGTCCCTCTCTTCTGAGTCTGGTGTGGGCACCAGCCGGAGACGTTCGATGTTCTCCACCACACTGGCAAGCTGCCAGTTGGGTCGGAAGTTCCCTGGGCGGAAAGTCTCCTTGCAGAGAGGGCAAGCGGGATTCTCCTCAGGGTCTGGGCCTGAGATCTCCAGGAATCGGGTGAGGCAGCCTCGGCAGAAGTTGTGACCACAGTCGATGGTAACAGGTTCCCTCAAGATGCCTTGGCAGATGGGACAATTGACCTCATCTGCCAAGCTGGTCAGAGAAGTGGCTGAGGCCATGGTGCTACTCTGCCTGTAGCCTCCTCAAGGCCACCTTCTTTCCTTGACTGAGGTAGAAGGGTTGAAAGAGAAGTAAGGTTAGACAGCTCACTTTCACATTAATGTGAAAACACATACCTGCATTCAGCCATGTTAAATAAGCAACACCTTCATTCTCTCCCTCTCTCTTTCTCTCTCTCTCTCTCACACACACACACAAAGAGAGAGAAAGAGAGAGAGAGAAAGAGAGCGAAGAGAGAGAGAGAGGGAGAGAGAGAGAGAGAGAGAACAAGTACACAGTACCCACTTGTATCTCAGGTGGCCAAGGTCCTGCTATCCTCCTCCCAAAGGAACAGGCGCATATCCTCCAATAACAAAGGTGGAGAAGTAGCAGAGGAGAGAAAGGAATATGATGTTAGAACTTTCCAAAGATGACTTCAGCTATGCTCTGTGCCTAGAGGGATTCACTATTCCTTCTTGTCCTTTAAGGAATACTTGTAAGAGGAAGAAAGTGGTGATTAGCACAACCATCCACAGTTTAAAGAGAACCTTCCTTTGAGGGGACAGCAGGAGACTGGTTATAGAGCAGTAATGCCACCCAACCTCCCTGCAATATCACCAGCTGTCTTCGGAAAGATTGTAGGTATCAGTCAGCCCAGAGGAGTGTGTGGGGATTCAGATAAGGTTGGTCTGCCATGGGCTAACACGGCATAGGCAACTCCAGGGGTGATGCCCCACCTGGCTTGCCGTAGGTTTCTGTACCCCTTGAGAAGAAAGAAAAAATAGCGAGAGTCATTTATTGTTGAGGACTATGATAGACCTTACACGGATTAAGCAATTTAAATGTATAGTTTTTTTTATTTTTCACGTCTGCTCTATGATATCAGCACATTAGCTGGGCTCAGCCAGTCTATTTAGCTGGCCCAAAACATATATTTAGGAAGGTGGGTGACCGTGATTTTCTCTTACGTGTGAGTCTCTAAGCCACACTGTACAAACAGGAAATACGTGAGCCAAGCATGCAGCTTAAGATTTTCTAGTGAGCGTATTTCTAAAAATTAATTTTAATATTTTATTTCATCTCAAATTTTATATTTTCAAAATCTAATCCATGTAATAAACAGCAGTGGGATATTTTGCATTCTATTCCCTTGGTACTGTGTCTTTGAAATATATGCTAGAATTATTTTACAGAAAATTGGGACAGGCCACTTCTCTATGTTCTTCTGCCACCTGTGACTAATGGTCATGTGTTGTATAGTTAGTTCTAGGGTGCATTCAGGTGTGGGAGGGACGGCAGAGAGGAAGAGAATGTACAAAATAATTGAAGTAAAAGGGGAAGTAAACAGTATAGGACTGCTCACTGAGTGAGAGACAGAAAGGAGTTTGCCCTAATCCACAGACGCAGGTGAGTGGATGAAACCCTGACTGCTTGATCATTATCTAGGCTCAGAGTTCAGGAAAAGCACAGGGCTAGCATCTGGTGGACTTGCACCTTCTAACTCTATGACTTACTGGAATTCAACTACCTTTCAGTTTACATTTCTTTCTTTGTGAAATGCAGGTCATTTTTATCTGCCCAAAAGGCTGTTATCAGGTTGGCTGTACTAAGCTTAGGTAAGTGTGGTTTAATCAGTTTATCTTTTTGACTAATTGTGTTTTCAAATCTTTTGTTTAGCAAAATGAGTCATTTGTATTACTGCTGCTTGCCCTCTCCTACCTGCAGTTAAAAAAATTGAACTAAGTACAATAATTACTCTGACTCTGTTAGCTGCACTGGGCTAGGGATGAGAGTGGGAGTTAGGAGTTTAGGAGAAACTGATCTAGGCAGGTGAGGAAAGGATAGGAAAGGAATAAATATGAGGAGACCTCGGAGGCCAGAAATGTCTGAGCAGAGCCCGTGGAAGCTGCAGAAACCACTCTCCTCTCCACTCCACCCGGACTTTGGCACTAGACACACCTTGTTTATGGCTCCCACCTGCTCATCTCAACGGAAAGCAATTTCTCCTATCCAGTTTTTCCCACCTCATGATGAGCAAGGGAGGCATTCCAGAAAACTCTTATTTCCTGTGACCTCATGGCATGTTCTGTTCCCACCCAGTAACCGAAAGGAGCCAGAGAGAGCAGAGGCTAGGAACTTCTGGGGAAGGCCAGGTAATTTAAGATGCCCTGGAGTTTGAACCTGTTCGAGCTGATGGGTGGTGGCCAGGACTCCCAGGAAGCAGAAAAGGTGAGGTCAGTTGACTTCTTTGTCATCCTGTTTCTTGGCCTCCTTTTCCTTTCGTTCTGTGAATCATGGAAAAGTGACTTGATCTCAGGGAAAAGGAAACAGCGTGGCCTGAAGCAGAGGCCTGAATACAGACTGGGGAAGGTACCGTGATGTCCTCAACTCCCTCCCGTGGGGGGCCCTTCTGTCCTGTCTGTAAGAGGCTCCTAGAAGATGCAGTGACTGTCACCTGTGGACACACCTTCTGCCGGCTGTGCCTACCCTCACTGTCTCAGATGGGAGCTCAACCCTCCAGCAGGGTACTGCTCTGTCCCGTCTGTGAAGAGAAGGAGCAGAAGGAGGCCCTCCTGGTTCCAGTGCCCCTGGGTCCTCTGGGGGAGACATATTGCGAAGAGCATGGAGAGAAGATTTACTTCTTCTGTGAGAATGATGCCGAATTCCTCTGTGTTTTCTGCCGGGAAGGTCCCTCCCACCAGTTCCACACTGTGTGCTTTCTGGACGAGGCCATTCAGCCCTACCGGGTAAGATGCACAGCTTTTGTTCAAGCATTTGACTGGGACAATGTCCTCGTTAGTGGAATGGTCAGGGGTTAGGAGATAAACTAGTTACAGATCAAGGGACCCAATAAGCCCCGGGAGACATGCTTGAATGGTCTTTGGGAAGATATTAGAGTCAGTTCTTAGCAGGTCCCTCTGTGACTGAATCCAAATAATGGGAACCACAGCTTCGGTGAAAAGAATGCAGAGTAGGATCTCCTCTATTGGGAGGGGAACTTGGTCTCTGACATCCACACTGGACACAGGTTTCACCAAGACCCTGACCACTGGGGCCCAGAGGGAAAAGAGGGAAATGGCAAGGAAAATCTAAAACAGCAGCTCTTCTTTTTTTTTTTTTTTTGCTTTTTGGGTAACACCCAGCAATGCAGAGAAGTCACTCCTGGCTCTGCACTCAGGAATTACCCTTGGCAGTGCTCAGGAGACCATATGGGATGCTGGGGATCGAACCTGGGTTGGCCGCGTGCAAGGCAAATGCCCTACGTGCTATGTAATTGCTCCAGCCCCAGCTCTTCTTTTTTTATTAAAATTTTTTTATTCCCCCTTCATTCCTTATTTTATTTTGTCTATTTCTTTGTTGGGGGCTTCCCAAGCAGTGTTCAAGAGGCCTGAGGTCATTCATTGTAATACTCTGACAACGCTACTTGAGATGGGTGCATCTCTGCTTTGAGGTGCTGGGGAGCACAAGAGCCACCAGGGAAACTTAGGGTCCCCAGGGCCACACTCAGTGGTACTCAAGGAGTTCTATGGAGCTGGAATTTGAACTTGGGTCCTCAACACAAGCCATGCAAAAACCACTGAACTATCTTCTCTGTCCCTTCTCCACTTTCCTTATTTTTTTATTTTTATTTTATTTATGTATTTATTGCTTTTTTGGGTCACAACTGGTGGTGCACAGAGGTTACTCCTGGCTCATGCGCTAGGAAATTACTCCTGGCAGTGCTCAGGGGACCATATGGGATGCTGGGAATCAAACCCAGGTTGGCTGTGTGCAAGGCAAATGCCATACCTGCCGTGCTATCGCTCCAGCCCCCACTTTCCTTATTTTGTTGTTGTGTTTGCGATGAGTAGTAGTCGTATTTGAGGGCAGTGTGTCTGAGATTACACACTTTGTTTTGACACCAGCGATTCCAAACGGCAGCACTATTGTGGTCACTGGATGCCTGTGTACAGTGAATTAAATTCATGGCAGATGCTCTACCACTGAGCCCTCCCTGCCCTGCCCCTTGGGTTTTTGGGTCCTTCCAAGAGTTTCAAGTGCCTAGAGAATATCTTCAGAAAGACATTAAAAACCTTTCACAGTCATGCTGCCTTCCTGTTCTGTCTCATAGCCAGTCTTGCCTGGGCACTTGCCGAAGCACCAAGTGCCCAGTCACATCAGATGACGAGCCTGCTGTTTTCTGGCTTGTAGGACGCTTTCCTGTTTCTAATACTTTTCACGTAAAGATCCTTCTTGCTAGAATGCACTCCTTTCTCATAATTTTTTTTTCTTGGCGTTTTGGGTCACACCTGGCGATGCTCAGAGCTAACTCCTAGCTCTACACTCAGGAATCACTCCTGGCAGTGCTCAGGGGACCATATGGAATGTGGGGAATCCAACTTGGGTTGGCCATGTGCAAGGCAAATGCCCTACCCACTATACTATCGCTCCAGCCCCTCTCATAATACTTTTAAACAGTTATCAACAGCAGTTAAACAATTATCTTAGGGGGGCACTCCCCAGTGATAATCAGGGGCATTGGGGCCACTCCTGATGATCTTGTCTAGCAACATGATTTGCTTAAAACATGGCACCACCACGGCCGCGTCCCATCAGTGCTATATCTACCAGTGCTGGGGGTGGAGGGTGGGTCATGTGATGCTAAGGATTTAATTTGGGACCTACTGAATGTAAGGCAAGCACTCTATTCCTTTAAGTTATTTCCCATTGTTTTTTTTTTTTGTTTGTTTGTTTTGGACCACATCTGGAGGTGCTAAGGGCTTATTCCTGGCTCTGTGCTCAGGGATCATTCCTGGAGGACTCAGGGGATCATATGTGGTGTCAGAGATCAAACTCAGGTCAGCTGCATGCAAAACAAACACCCTACCACTGTACTTTTGTTAAATAGGGCAGCCCTTCCTGCCCTATTTAAACATTTGTGTGGGCAGACAAGGCACAGGCTGGATCACATTAGAAGTGTTCAGGACTTACTTCTAGCTCTGTGCTCAAGGATCTCTCCTGGTTATGCATGGGGGACCATATACGGTAGATGGAATTGAACCAGGGTCAGCCGTATGCAAGGCAAGTACCCAATCCCTTGTATTATTTCTACTGCTCCCATTTAACAATTTTCTTTTAATTTTTTTATTTTTGTGAATCACCCTGAGATACAGTTGCAGACTTACAAATTTTTGTGATTACGTTTCAATCAAACAATGTTCGAGTACCCATCCCTCCACTAGTGCCCTTTTTCCACCACCAATGTTCCCAGTGTCCCTCCTGCCACCCCCACTTCTTCTCTCCCTCTGCCTCTGTGACAGACACATTCCTTCTTACTCTCTCTCTCCTTTTGGGTGTTATGGTTTGCAACTTAAGCACTAAGCAGCCATCATGTTTGGTCCATAGTCTACTTTCAGCATGCATCTACCATCACGAATGATCCCTCCAACCATCATTTACTTAGTGGTCTTCTCCCTCCCACCTGCCTTTCCCCCATCATGTGAGAACAGCTTCCAACCCATGGGGTGATCCTCCTGATCCTTATCTCTACTATCTTTAGGTGTTATTCTCCTATCATGTTATTTTATATTTCACAAAAATGGGTGCAGTCATTCTGCGTCTGTCCCACTCTTTCTGACTCATTTCGCATAGCAGGATACTCTCCATGTTGATCCACTTATATGCAAATATCATGGTTTCATCTTTTCTAACAGCTGCATAGCATTCCATTGTGTAGATATGACAAAGTTTCTTTTACCAGTCATCTGTTCTCGGGTTTTTTTCCAGATTCTGGCTATTGTAAATAGTGCTGCAATAAACATATAAGTGCAGATGTCATTTCTACTGTATTTTTTTGCATCTCTTGGATATATTCCCAGAAGTGGTATTGCTGGGTCAAATGGGAGTTCAGTTTCTAGTTTTTTGAGTTGCATTCATATTGTTTTCCAAAAAGGCTGGACCAATCAACATTCCCACCAGCAATGAAGGAAAGCACCTTTCTCCCCACATCCACGCCAACACCAGTTGCTTTTGTTCTTTTGGATGTGTGCCAGTCTCTGTGGTATGAGATGTTTTGATCTGCATCTCTCTGATGATTAGTGATGGAGAGCATTTTTTCATGTGCCTTTTGGCCATTCACATTTCTTCTTTGGGGAAGTTTCTGTTCTTTTCATTGCCCCATTTTCTGATGGGCTTGGATGTTTTTTTCTTGTAGAATTCAACCAGTGCCTTGTTTATCCTCCATTTAACAATTTTCAAGTGAATTAAGCACACTTTATCCCCATCTGAAAACATATCTGTTCACCATAAATGGTTGTTTTCTAAGACTTTCCCTCACTACTCTTTGGTGTTCCCCTATTACTCTGTGCACACCTTGGTGGTAGCTTTGCCTATCTGTATTTCAAATACTAGTGACTGACTCCTTCCCTATAGGATGAGCTCTTTAGGAACAAAGACTATGCCTTTTCCACCTCAGACTTCCTCAATGGCATCACAGGAACATGATAGATAGTATTGGTGAGTTGGACTATGAATAAAGATATCTCTTTCTTGCCCATCCTCTTCCCCTCCCCCCCCCCCCACAGGATCGTCTCAGGACTCGGCTAGAAGCACTGAGTTTGGAGAGAGATGAGATTGAAGACACAAAGTGCCGGGAAGACCAAAAGCTCCAATCACTTTTGGTAAATCCACATCACCTGCCATCTTCTTCTTAAGGAATATTTTTAATTAAATCACTGTAAGACAGTTACAAAACTGTTCTTGATCTGATCTCAGTCATACAATGTTCTTAAGGAATTTTTTAACAGAACCTCAAAAAGCATGTAATCTTATATCTGCTGCCTGACTAGAAAGAACTAGCAAACTGTTCTCATCACCCCTGTGTTTCTGTACAAGAGCATTTGGGTATAGGATCTTAGGGCATCAGAACTGGAGGTGGTTGTAACATCTTCTTATCCAGGACCCATCCTTTAAGCCATTTTTATTTATTTATTTATTTTTGTAGAGCAGAAAATGAAGTCCAGAGAGGTTTGTCCAAGGACATAGGACAAAACCTAGGTTATCAATGAAAAGATCAGACCATTTAAAACATGATCATCCGTTCATTGCTCTTCCTAATCCCAGTCTGTATCTCTGAGAGCATTTCCTTCAGCTTGGGGTCGAAAGCATATACAAGTGTCTGCATTCTAGTCTTGACAATCATGCTGGTCTGGATAGTCCAGATAATAGTGTGGTTATCTATGGCTCCTTCCTACCTTTTTCTTCATACTACAAAGTTATTCAGTAGGAAATATTCTGTCACTGTCACTGTCCTCCCATTGTTCATCAATTTGCTTGAGCAGGCCCAGTAACATTTCCATTTTGAGACTTGTTGTTACTGTGTTTGGCATATCGAATATGTCACGGGTAGCTTGCCAGGCTTTGCCGTGCAGGCGAGATACTCTTGGTAGCTTGCCAGGCTCTCCGAGAGGGGTGGAAGAATCAAAGCCAGTTTGGCCGTGCTGGCTGCGTGCAAGGCAAACGCCCTACCGCTGTGCTATCACTCCAGAAATATTCAGTATCTGAATTTCTGATATTTTCCTTAAGGACACATGGATTGGAGACGGGAAGAAATCTTCAGACTCCTTCAATTTCCATGAAAGTGTGTCCTGTATATGTACTCTTAAGTGGGTAAAACCAGTGCCATAACTTCTTCCAGTAGGCTGTAGTAACTCTAATTACAACTTCATTTTTTTTTCTCCTTTGGAGAGGTTTTTATTTTTTTTTCATTTTCTTTTTTATTTTCTAATGAATCACCATGAAATACAGTAACAGATTTATGCACTTTCATGCTTACGTTTCAGTCACAAATTGATCGAGTACCCATCCTTCACCAGTGTTCGTTCTCCACCACCAATGTTCCCAGTATCCCTCCCACCCCCCCCCCCATACTCCCTCCACCTCTGCTGCCTCTGTGGCAGGTGAATTCCTTTTTACTCTCTCTCTCCTTTAGGGTGTTGTGGTCTCCAATGCAGGTGTTAAGTGACCATCATGTTTGGTCTATATTCTACTTTCAGTACACATCTCTCATCCCAAGTGGGTCCTCCAAGCATCCTTTACTTGGTGGTCCCTTCCCTATCTGAGCTGTCTTTCCCCACAGCATGTGAGGCCAGCTTCCAAATTGTGGAGCAATCCTCCTGGTCCTTATCTCTACCATCCTTGGGTGTTTGTTACTTTTTATTCCACAAATGAGTGCAGTCTTCCTATGTCTGCCCCTCTCTTTCTGACTCATTTCACTTAGCATGATACTCTCCATGTTAATCCACTTAGATGGATTAACAGTAAATTTCATGACTTCATCTTTTCTAACAGCTGCATAGTATTCCATTGTGTAGATGTACCAAAGCTTCTTTAGCCAGTCATTTGTTCTTGGGCACTCGGGTTTTTTCCAGATTCTGGCTATTATAAACAGTGCTGCAATGAACATACGAGTAATTTCAACTTCCTTTTGACTAGAAATGACCCTGGGGTAGGATCAATGGTAGGATCAGATGGTTTGTAGAGGTAAAATGATTTTTGAAGGCTCAGTATATCTCTGAGAGCATTAAGATGATGATATAATTCATGATCACGATCATCCTGTTGTTCATCGATTGCCTCGAGCAGGCACCAGTAATGTCTCCTTCGTCCTAGCCTTGAGATTTTAAAAAGTGCCATATTCGAGGCTCTTTAGGGTTAGAAGAATGAAACCCATCATTGTTACTGGTATTTGGCATATTGGGTACGCCATGAAGAGTTTGCCAGACTCTGCCGTGTGGGCAGGTTACAATTGGTAGCCTGCCAGGTTGTCCAAAGTAAAAATGAGATAATAAGATGCCGCGTGGCCGCAAATGCCCCAATGAGGACAACCAGGCGCGGGGGCAGGAGACTGCGCTGTTCTCTTCTGGGAGCTGGGTTTTATAGTCTCTGGGTCTTGGCCGTTGATGGGATTACACGGTACTGGGGGCCAGTTGGTGGGTGTGACCCCTGCCTACTGGAAGATGGAGGATCTGGGTGGAGGATGCTCTGCCCCAATCCGAGCAGGCTTGGAGATCTCAGCCCCGGGACCCGCATGCCTTTGTTCCTCTGCCCGTACCTTCATGCGTGTGGAGAGCGGTCTCAGCATGGTTGTGGCTGGTTCTGGAGGTCTTCGGCTGCCAGAGCTCTGCTCGGGATGGGGAGGGAAACTCAACCCGCCCCACTCCAAGGGGCCCCAGTGAGGATAGCCAGGCATGGGGGCAGGAGATGATATAATTATGGATGTTTTAAATATTAAAAGAAGAGTATAACCCTCATAACTGGCAATTTTAGCGTGTGAGATATTTGGGAGGATAAGTCTTAGAACAAGTCACTCCATGTCTCCCTTAGGCAATAGCATGTAGATGATCTTCCTGGAACTTGGCTCTGTAAGCATCCCTGAAACAATGTCTTTTTATCCCTCACAGAGTCAGATTGAAAGCAGAAGGAAGCATGTGAAAGAGACTTTTGAGAAGTTGCAAAAGGAGCTTGGGGAGCAGCAATATCTTCTACTGTCCAGATTGAAAGAAGTGGAGCAGCAGATCTGGAAGGAGAGGGATGAGTACACCTCAAAGCTCTCTGAGGAAGTTACTAGACTTGGACTTCAGGTCAAGGAGCTGGAGGAGAAGTGTCAGAGGCCAGCAACTGATCTTCTACATGTAAGAGACAACCCGCCACCTCATGGATTAGGAGAGGGACCCCATGTAAAGGGAAGAGCAGGGAAGGGAGTGAAAGATGCTGGAGAGAGTCAGGAAGGGGACTTGAAGAATATTGAATGCTAGGGGGTTGGAGCGATAGCACAGCGGGTAGGGTTGTTTGCCTTGTCCGCGGCTGACCCGGGTTCGATTCCCAGCATCGAACCGCCAGGAGTAATTCCTGAGCGCAGAGTCAGGAGTAACTCCTGTGCATTGCCGGGTGTGACCCAAAAAAGCTAAAAGAGAAAAAAAAAGAGTATTGAATTCTTTTGACTCAAAGAGTTTATGAATATGCAGATCTAGAAAAGTAGAATGAAGTGTCCATTTCACACAACATCCAGAAGAGGTGGAATTAGATGACCTTGGGTTTGAGTCCTACCTGTGAAAGAAGCATAACCTTGACAAATTTCTTTTGGCCTCTAAATATGGGCATAGCACCTTCCTCACAGGAATGTTTTAAAAATTAAAAAAGAATACATACAAAAATTCTCATCAGAGTTCCTAACTCAGAGAAAGAACTCAATAAATGGTTCTTGGTATGATTATCATTCCAGTACCCTGCTTATCAGCAGGTCAGGCCCATTCTCTGCTCTCCATCATCTTTTTTTATAGGAAATAGAACTTTCTGACCCCCTCCACAAGGCAGAGACCGAAACACAAGCCCGAATGATCTGAATGCACAGTCTCATATTAGTAAGAAAGCATGAGTAAAAGAATAGTATGCTGAGTAGGAAATTCAACAAATATATTTTTATGAAGAAGCAGAGTTTTATGCTAATGTTAAAGAGGAAAGAATGTACAGAACTCTGGTAGGAAGGATATATGGAAACTAAATATATTTTTTTTCTTTTGTAGGATGTCAGAGTCAACCAGAGCAGGTAGGGCCCACTTCTCAGTCCTTTATATTTTGAGTTTATACCTTATGCTGGAGCGATAGCACAGCGGGTAGGGCGTCTGCCTTGCACGCAGCCAACATGGCCAACCCGAGTTCGATTCCTCTGCCCCTCTCGGAGAGCCTGGCAAGCTACCGAGAGTATTCGATATGCCAGACACAGTAACAACAAAGTCTCCAATGGAGACGTTACTGGGCCCGCTCGAGCACATCGATGATCAACGGGAGGGCCTTTACCTTTTTTACCTTAAATTAAAAAAATTAATATTCATGAGAGGGGCTGAAGCAAGAGCACAGCAGGTAGGGCGTTTGCCTTGCACGCAGCCAAGATGGCCAACCCGAGTTCGATTCCTCCACCCCTCTCGGAGAGCCCGGCAAGCTACCGAGAGTATTCGATATGCCAGACACAGTAACAACAAAGTCTCCAATGGAGACGTTACTGGGCCCGCTCGAGCAAATCGATGATCAACGGGAGGGCCTTTACTTTACTTACTTACCTTATGCTACTTTATAATTCTTACCTCCTTTAAATGGGACATGGAGACAGGATAGGAGGCTCTCACTGACTCCTCTCTCCACATAGATGGCTACACAGAAAAGCAAAAGCACTCTGATACTCTTATCTCATTCACAAACTCTGAAACAGCCCAAACTTACTAAAGGTTTGTGTTCTAACATTTCATCTTTAAACAGATTGGTGTGGGAAACCCATTGCCCCTCACCAAAGAGAAGTAATAGATCTAGGCTGGTCCAGAAATATCCTTTTTAACACCTGAAATTATCTAGTGCTTAAGTCAGCATTTAACATCACTTAAAATGAACTCATAAGGAGAAATATTTTTATAGAATATTATAACACAGAAAATGGAAAACCCAGAATAGTTTTCCCATTCATTTTCCAACATATTTCTCTATTTTCCGTCAGAGTTTCAAATAGTCTCTGAAAGAATAACCAGCAAGAACAGCAAGAACTGGGAGACATAAATGAATGCTCATTTCCTCTCCTTTTCTTTTCCCTCCGGTGTATTAGCAATCTGGGATGAGCAGAGGCATGCTACTAAGAAAAAACTGTGGTGTGCTGTATGCCATGCATATGTATGTGCTTGTGGGCTGGACACACTGTGTCCACGCATCAGAAAGGGTCGCTAAACATACTTTTCAAAGAGTAACAGAGATTTATATCCAGGAGGATCTTGAAGACTCCCTAATCTGATAAAGAGGTTGAGAACTAGAGAGGAAAGTGTTTGTTCAAGATCACACAGTAAGAACATGACAAGGAAGAGGAAAACTCGAAACGGAGGCCTTTTACACTGTCATATATTTTTCATCTTTTTGTTCTCTTTTCATTAGAACATAATTTGGTAAACCTGTTTCAAATAGTACTCTATGTCCCCTAGGGGCTAATAGGGGACCCTTCCACTTCCACAGATCTCTAAAAATATCTCCAATTTTTGAGGCATTATTACTACTAGTTAGTCCCTGTTGGAGCTAACTTAAACATTGCTTCCTTTAGTAGCTATACACTTGTAACAACTACAAATAGATGATATTCATTCACCCATCAAAGTACTCCCAAGATTCTATTTTAGCCTCACTCACTCTGACCCAAACATTACTTTTAAAATTAGAACCTAACTGGTTACTGACATGTATGCAGGAGTGACATTAGAACTTTTGTGAGTCCAGACGCCATTTCTTCTGACCTTGTCAAGAAGATCCGTGATCTCCACAGGAAAATACTCACCCTTCCAGAGATGACGAGGACCTTTTCAGGTAACACCCAGCAATGCCCAGGGTTATTCCTGGCTCTGCACTCAGGAATTACTCCTGGCGGTGCTCGGGGGACCTTATGGGATGCTGGGAATTGAACCCGGGTCGGCCGCGTGCCAGGCAAACGCCCTACCCGCTGTGCCATCACTCCAGCCCCCATCTGCTGCTTTTTTACCCACCATTGTTACTCATCCTCCTGTCTTCCCTTAATTACCCCACTCTTCCCAGGAGCCCATTCCTGAAAGCCTCTCCTCTTTTTCCCAAAAACACGCGCTGGCCTGAGAGTCCAGGGGGAAGAGGACAGCATCTCTCTCAGAGCAGGAGCTGGGTTTTCTCTGGTTCTTAATTCCACACACTTTCAGTACACAGTGTCCCTTGGGGGAACCTGTAGGAAATAACCAGTTCTAAATCTCTTTTACTTTTGCTTTCACAGAAAAGTTGATGCGTCATCTGGAAACAGATTCAGGTAACCAGCTGGGGAACTGGGAAACCATTCATTCATGAAGGAATTAATGAATTAATCCATTTAATCCAAAGCCGCATACAGAGTTATTAAATATGTGAATTCTGGAGCCTAATTGCTTGGGTTCTCTGCTCTAGCAGTTGCTAATAACAAGACACCGAGAATGTTATTAATCCTCTTCATGTCACAGTTTATTCATCTATGAAATAGAAAGTAGGGGCTGGAGCCATAGCACAGCAGATAGGGCATTTGCCTTGTGCGCGGCTGACCTGGGTTCGATCCCTGACATACCATATGGTCCCCCAAACACCGCCAAGAGTAATTCCTGAGTGCAGAGCCAGGAGTAACCCCTGTGTATCGCTGGGTGTGACCCAAAAAAGCAAAAAAAAAAAAAAGAAAGAAAGAAAGAAAGAAATAGAAAATGTAGTACTTAACCCATAAGTAACTCCCAGATCATAATAGACATAATAATGTTTATGCAAAAAGCTTAGAATAGTACCTTGCACATAAGTATTCAATTAATGTCACTTACATGCATAGACATTATTTAAATATTTATCAATCCCTTGTTTTGCCTGGCATTGTGCTCTATTCTTTATTACATTGTGTAGTTTTAGAAACAACCAAACAAAAAAAGAAACACAGCATTTACTTCTAAATTGGTGCTTAATTTAGAAATTATTTTCCCAAGTATTATCTCACTCTCTTTTCAAACTTCGTGTGGAAAACTCACCTAGGATCTTGCTAAATGCAAATTCTGATTCAGTCAGTCTATGATGGGGCCCTAGATTCTGTATTTCCAGAAAGCTCACAAGAGAAGCAGATGCCACTGACCCACACTTTGAGATGCAAAATCTTACAGAGCAGCATCCCTGCCCTTCAGGGAGTACTGTCACCCTCAGTCCCTACAGAACAGCAGGGGAAGCTGAGGTCCAGAAAAGCCAGGTCAAAGGCAAGCCACACAAGGCCTGTGCTTTTTCTGCCTCCCACTCGACACATGTGCTTGCTTGAGGTCCGTTTGGGGTTTTGTTGCCATAACTGCTCTCCTCCCCCAGAGACCATCACCTTGGATCCTGAGACAGCCAGCCCGAGCCTGATCCTCTCCGAGGACAGGAAGTCAGTGCGGTACACCCGGCAAAAGCGGCAACTTCCCGACAGTCCCCGGCGCTTCGACACTCTCCCGGTGGTGCTGGGATGCCAGGGCTTCTCCTCTGGACGTCATCGCTGGCACGTGGAGGTGCAGCTGGGAGAAGACGGGGGATGCACTGTGGGGGTAGCAGAGGAAGAGGTGAGGAGGAAGGGGGAACTGGGCTTGGATGCCAGCGATGGACTCTGGGCGGTGATCCTCTCAAACCGGCAGTGCTGGGCCACCACGTCCCCGGACACCAAACTGCATCTGAGTGAGATCCCAAACTGTGTGGGTGTTGTCCTGGATTACGAGGCGGGTCTAGTGGACCTGCTCAACGCTGAGACCCAGGAGTCCCTCTTCACCTTCAACACCTCCTTCTCTGGCAAAATCTTTCCTTTCTTTGCCATGTGGAGAAAAGGGTCCCGTCTTACTTTGAAAGACTGAAGTTAATTGTCAGAAAGGCAAAGTGCACTCGTAGGGTGCACCCATCTCCATCTAAAGGACACTAAAGGACATCTAAAGGACACTTGGGCATCTAAAGGACACTGGATCTCACCGTGTGCCCAGTTTTGCTATTGTTTCCACTTTATTTTTCTTATGTCCTCCTTGATGTCCTAGTCCTGACTTTGACGCTCTGGTTGTCCGCACCTTCTCATGGGCATCAGAGTCAGAAGGCTGGTTCGCCTAGACCACCACAAAACTGGGGAAAAAAAATCTAATAAATAAATAAATAAATAAAGTTTTAAAATAATCACCTGAAAAAAAAAAAAACAGTATCTGGAAAAAAAGGATTTCTTTGGCTTGTACAGTTTAACACAGCTGACTTTTTATTTCATCCCACACGTGAAGATGCTTCCACTGTTACAGGGAACTCTTTCCTCAGCTCGGGGTGTTTTCAGGTCTTCTTTCTTTCTGACACTCTTCAGATTCTCACTTTTGTAGAGAATGCCCAAATAAAGTGCAGAACACAAACAGCCCTCCACATATCTTATCTGTGCTGAGGTAGCTAAAGGTCCAAAGTCCTGTCCCTTTTACTGGGACTTGGCTGATAGCATTGGAACCAGACCCCACTGTTCAATAAAATGAGACTGTGTTCAGAGGATTGCCCTGCCACAGAGGCAGGGGGGGATGGGGGGATGGGGGTGGGGGGGATATTATCCATGGTGGTGGAAAATTGGCACTGGTGGAGGGATGGGTATCTGATCATTGTATAATCAAACCCAAGCACAAAAAAATTGTAAATCTACAACTGTACCTCATGGTGTTTCACTAATATAAATAAATAAATAAATGAGACTGTGTTCAGCTGAACACAGTCTCATTTTATTGAACAGTGGGGTTTGGTTCCAAAAGTCAGCAGTGTTAAATAATTTCTCAAATATTTATTCCATCAATTGAACACAAAACAGACCATACATTAAAATAAATTGGCAAAGCAACATATAAATCTTTGTAACAATGATTCCCACACCAATCTCCAATCTCCTGATTCTAATTCTTGTATTTCCCAAAGTTTAGCAGTCACATTCCTGCCCTCTCACCTAACCCCTTAAGAAATCTACTTTCAGGCTGGAGCAATAGCACAGCGGGTAGGGCATTTGCCCTTGCACATGGCCAACCTGGGTTCGATTCCCAGCATCCCATATGGTCCCCTGAGCACTGCCAGGGGTAGTTCCTGAGTGCAGAGCCAGGAGTAACTCCTGTGCACTGCCAGGTATGACCCAAAAAAAAAAAGGATTTTCATACCCAATTTGGGGGCCCTATAGTATAAGTCTATATAAGTATTAGCTTCCTTTTCTATGATCCCAGACCTGGAAATATGTGATCAGATGTTTTACAGACAATCTAAGCACTTGAATCATACATGAATTTCATTACAAAAGTATAAGAACCCTTGTAATGTGACTAATTACCCATTATTTTTTGTAAGATACTTTGATATGCATTTGTTTATTTTTATTTTATTTTCTCCATGTTTTCTACATGGGAGTCCAGAATTTAATAGAAATTTTTGATTATAAAAAGAAGAAGTCAGAGGATTTGGGATTTCTTCTCTTCTCCCATGAAACCGGCAAAAATCACTTATCTAACCCAAAAAAACTCAAAAATTATTTTGCACTTCAACCAATTAGCAGTAGTAATGCCTAATGTTTGTTATTAAATTGGCATACTCTGGTGTTGGAGAAGTGGGTAAGTAGTAGAGTGCCTGCTTCTCTTACATAAAGCCCTGGGCTCAACACTTGGCAACACTAAATAAATAAATATGTAGGAGCCATAATTTGAAGCCGTTAGCACTGGCATCATAACCTGAGCTTAATTTTTCAGCTCTATTGTTTCAACCTTTGTTGTCTGATTGCAGCCACCAAAAGGGATTTTCTGCCATACTACTGCCAGATGTGTGTTAGGACAAGAGCTAACGTGGTAGAAAACCCAGTGCACACCATAATTAGATAATGTAAAAGCACATGACTGTGTAATCACAAAATCACTTGTCTAACCCAGAAAAACTCAAAAATATTTTGCGCTCCAATCAATTAGCAGTAGTAATGCCTAATGGATTACTCAGGCTGCAACGGCCTTCTGGCGCCACTTCCCCCACCCCAGGGAGGTGGATGACGATGGGCAGGCAAACAAAGAAATGAGGGCCAGGCTGGTTGGTGTCAGTTGCAATTCATTCCAATCTCATCTCCATTCATTCCTGTCTCTCTCTCTCTCTCTCTCTCTCTCTCTCTCTGCTTCTCCCCCCAACCCACTCTTACAGTCCAGTTAAATACCCAAAGCATGAGGGGTTGGGGTTTACACATAGGTGTGGTCACAATCAGTAGAGGTAAAGTTCTTTTTCTCAAGGGATGCTTCTAGGACAGATACTCTTTCAGCAGGGTGACCCACCCAAGAGCAGAATCCCATGGGTATGTTTCTTCTCTCCTTGTGCAACAAACATACAAGCATTCATAATATTAATCATTTTGCATGGACACAGTAAGAGATACATTAAGCTTATAGAATTGCTCTCCTATCCCTAGCAGGGTCCTAGTTTTGTCATTACTTTTGGATCATGACAGCATTTGTCCATGATCAAGCTCTTAACTTACAGTTAAGAATCGTGGTGCTTTGGCCTGGCCCATTTTGATGCCAGGATAGCTCACAGCTTACCCTGGGTCCATTCAGTCCCTCATCGGGACCGTGCTTTTGGGGTGCTAGGAACTAAGGGCAACTGAGGCTTACGTCAAGGAAGCAGATGCCTGGGAGTGAATAATATTCTAAGCCAATTAAATCCTAAATTACAAAAGCATAATATTAACTGTCTTCTTGTGTCTATACAAAAAGGACATTGCTTTAAAGTAAACTGTTCAAAAGATATAAGGAGAGAAGAAAGGCAATATTAGCCTTTCTTCAAGTTTAGTGTCCTAGAAGGATCTGACCTTACAAATTAATGGAGTCTGATTAAGGGGGAAAGTTGATTAACTGGTTGGGGAAGAGAGCATAGAGAAGTGGTTACAGATAAAGGAATGGGAGTGACTCAGGGGCATTGTGATGGGTGTGACTCAATGAATCTAAGCTTCTTTTGGCAAGGGGGAAAGGACAAACCAATGTTAGGCCTAAAATATTTAGAGCTATATTCCAACAATGACCAGAAAATGTAATCCTTGGTGAGCACATGTGTGAGCACAAAGGAATCCCTGACATGAATCACAAGCAGAATGTGTGAGTATCACAACTAAAAAAAGTAACACTTGTCTAACTGTGCAAGCACCACAATCTGATATTTGACTTCTTGGGAAGCACCATCATTAAATGTTCAAGCAGCACAGCCAAACATGTGTGTGAACTTAAAATCATGGTTAAAAAATATTCAGGGACCTCATGGTGTTTCACTAATAAAAATTTTTTTAAAAAAATCACACACAAAAAAATATTCAGGGACCAGGAATGTAAGACAGTAGTAAACCTATTTTGTACGTGTGAGGCCCTGGATTCAAAGTGGGGCTTCAAACTTTTTTTAAAAAAAGCAAAAATTCAGTGGGACTGGAGCAATAACACAGTGGGTAGGGCATTTGCCTTGCACGCGACTGACCTGGGTTCGATTCCCAGCATCCCATATGGTCCCCTGAGCACTGCCAGGAATAATTCCTGATTGCAGAGCCAGGAGTAACCCCTGTGCATTGCAGGGTGTGACTCAAAAAGCAAATAAATAAATAATTCCTCTTTCCCCCAAACACTCAATACTTCATCTTACCACATTACATAGATAATCACTAATATTAAATATTGGTGCATTCTGCCAGTTTTTTATAAAAGTGTATTTATTGTTATTTTCTTTTACATGAGTAAAATTATACTGTAAATATAACAGCAAGTCTCAGAATGGAGACGTTACTAGTGCCCGCTCGAGAACATCCATGAATGGGAGGACAGTGCTACCAGTGCTACCTCCAAAGTAAAATAACATGTAACAAATCCTTTAACACTACAGAGGTTTTAGAAAGTGTCTTTTAAATAACCACACATCTTCTTTTAAATCGTATAACAAACACAAGGACTTAGTTTTTTTCATCCTGTGGTTGAGAAAACTGGCACACAGACTAAAAGAACTTGTCCAACAAGTTTCAGTCTTTATAATCTGTCAGAAGTAGGATCTATAGATCCTCACCCTTCATCATCTTTCTACCATGCTCATACTTTCCAGATCACAGTGTGTTCTGAATTAGTGTTTTAGACAAGTAAAGGCTTTTTGGTTGAGTATTAAATGGATAACAATGAAAGAATAGCTGATGCTATATGCTCAAGCTCCTAGTTTGGGAGTAAATTAGGAAACTAAAGAGTATGAATAATCATTCTTTGGAGGCTCTGAACCAAAGTTTAATTGCCCCAATAAAAAAGAACAAAGAAAAGAGAATTTAGAAGATGAAGGAAAAGGTTTAGAAGTATCCTAAAGACTGGTTCAAAGGGTGGGAGCAAGATGCACAAGCTTTTTCTTCTTTTAGTTTACTCTTTGGGGGTGTGAAAAAGGCTCCCAAGCAGTGCTCAAGAGGCCCAGGGCCCCTTCCAGTTATTCTCAGTCAACCAGGTGAACTGCCAAATGCAGTATTGGGCCACCACAGCAGTACTTGGAGCCTTCTGGGTCTCACCCGGCAATGCCCGGGGAACCTGGAGATGCTAGGGGTCATACTGAGCCAGCTGCATGCAAAGTATGTGCTCCTGTACACATATTCTTTCTCTCTCCCTCCCTCCCTCCCCCACTTCTCTCTCTTTCTCTCACTCTCTTTCTCATTATCTCTTCCTTACGCTTCATTATTGAAAGAGGTATTATGGTTTATAATGAAATTAGTAATTTATATCAATTATTTTAGGTACACAATTTAACTACATTTTACTACATCACATCCACCACCATAGCTCAAGATTCCTTCACCTCTGTCCCAAAGTGCTTTTTCATCCTTCCA